CCTTGGAACTCTCCATTTTTTTTAATATATTTGCACGAACCGTGCATCCTGTTCACCTCTTGGGTGACTACACAAACGTTCTACAATATCAACACAATCTGTATAGGTCTGAGCTCTAAAAGTTTATCAAAGCATCAAGAGGATTACTCACCGCCATGACCGTGTGAATAGTCGACCTCCCAACACCCCACTTGTGTGGCTTGTGGTCTTGATTCTTATCTATGGGAGAAAGACCGTTTGAGCAATCTACTCAACCACTCCCTCCTTTAGAGTGTCCCAGTAACAGATGTTCCAATCTATGTGGTAGACATCGTCCTCGGCTTACTCAAAGTTAGGTGGTAGGTGGTAGCAATCTACTCAACCATTTCCGCCGACCTCTGTTCATTAGAATCAACGGCCACAAACTTGTCCTTGGATGTCTATTGCTTCTTTGAGGGCCTCATCACAGGGTCCACGGTCCGCCATGGAGGTGGGAGCAACATTGTGTCTGTTGTTGTTGCTACCTTCTTCTTCACTGTCGCTACCCTCTAGAAGTGCAACATTTGTTTCTCATTGGGATCCATATCAGTTCCTACACAACAACATCCGAGGTTAGTACTTGGATAAAAAACATTAAGAAACAAGTCTCAGTGGCTCAATGACCAACCAACCTAAGTTGGGCTCAATCCAACTCGAATTAGCTGGCTAAAGAGGTGTAATTCTTTATGTCCACCTAGATCTCGACTATCCTTGCCAATGCTTCACTATCCTCCTCAGACAAAGTTTGCAATTTAGGTGCCTTTACCTTGGTATTCAAGATGGTCAGCTCAGGCCTTAAAGGCCACTCATCCTTGCACTTCACAAAGAAAAACCCCTCCATCTAGTGATGGACTAAAGAGGGGTCCCAAAGAACACCTCCGTGTTCGGTTAAGTCGATAAGTAGTAATAGTCCTACTAATTCTTCTTGAGGTGAGGGAGTGTAGAAGAATGGAAAGGTCATCAAAATATTGTGGATGGTGCAAAAGGAAAGGGGCCCAAATAGGTACATAAAAGATTTTGGCATCAACTAGACATGCAAAATTTTGTGCCACCTCATCACGGACACCAACCTCAAATCCAAGGGGAATCTAAGTCCAACAACTAAACTCTCCTCATACACATAAATCTTTCCTGGCCGAGGTGACTAAGCCCTCTTTCCACTCCTCGAGCACCTAAGTTTAGATTTTGGAGGGATGCAATATACCTCCTTGATCTTCTACATGTCATCCTCTTGTAACATGCAAGGAGCGTTGCCAAAGTGATTTAAGGCCCTAGCTAGGACCTCGACCTTCTCGGCCAACACATTGACCTTGGCCTTCTTGGTCAACCCTTCAACCACAGCCAAAATGAAGTCCTTTTCCAACTCCTCTCAAACCTCGGACTTCACCTCAACTACATCACCCACAATCTCGACCTCCTTGGCGTCAGTCTCAAGGATCACCTCCTCGACCTTAGTCTCATTGATGTCGATCTCTGGTACCACTACCCTGGTCGCCTCTTGGTGAAATGACCCCAAACTTTGCTCACTATTCGAGCTCAAGCCACCAGGCCCTGAAGATGAGGACATAGACACTTCCTGAAGATGAGCTTTACAACAAACTAGAAAGCAACATATGAGGATGAGGACTGACCAAAATCCGATAGGCACTTTCATCCAAATGATAAAGGGAAATGGCTCTATCTGCCTCCTTATATAGAAACTTTCAATAGTCAAATTAGGATGATCAACAACCCAGATTGAACCCTGCACTCCATGCCAGAGCATGAGCTTGGGAGGATGAAATGTCGCAATCCAACTCCCCTTTATTTGAATTTTTTAAATTCATGTTTTACCACACAACCTGTTATCATTGGCTTGATTTGGACCAAACTATGGGTCAAACAGTTCAACCAAGATCAGATGAAATCACTAAGCTCTTTAGTTAAACACACAAAGAGCTCATCCCCCAAGCTCGTCAATCGAGCTCCTTAGCGGATCACTTAAGAAACTCATCCATTGAGTTACTTAGTCGAACACCATGTTCATCGATTTTAAAATTTGGGGCTTGTGATGAGGTTGTACCTCTCTCTAGTTGAACCACCACGTGGACATTAATGTGGACGGGGACCAAATCATGACCCCAGCCAGACCAATGACATGGAGCATCACCATTCATGGAGATGATGGTTACCATACATGCCATAAACCTCGAACATAGAGGGATACGTAGCGAACATTGTGCTCAACTTAGCCTCCCATGATGGAGAGCGTCAAAAACCAATGAATCGATTTGGTTGTAGGTTATATCCCTATAAACCGGATTGAAATTGAAATGAAGTAATAACCAATATTTAGGTTAAAATACGACGACATGGAACTTACGAGAAACCATACTTTTAACGGAAAAGTACGGACAGATCCAATGCAGATTTCTGAATTCCACGGCAGATCTATAAACATTCAAAATATCAAATACACCCACTCTATGCACCAATGTCTGCCCGTGAATTGACATTAATTCCGAGCTGACACCTATCCCAACTGTACTTTGGGCCTAAAAATTCCAACACTGGGCTGAACCGTCATTCTCCCTACTTTTATCATCTCTTACTTTTCTTTTCTTTTTTTTTATAATTAAGAATGTCAAATCTGTCACTAAGCCCTGCCTTATTAGTCCTAACATGTAACATCTCTCTCTTTCTCTCCCTCTCATCCCCCCTCCTCTAACGTCTCTTCCTACACTAACTGATGGTACAACTAACCAATTAGTTACCATCCTCTCTCTCTCTCTCTCTCTCTCATTTGGTACTTAGCTGATTGTACAATCCAACGTCTATCTTTATTTTGCTTGGTTAATCGATGAAACCGATTGAAACGTAAAAAAATTTCAAACTCGGTTTTATGATATTATTGGTCAGTTTCAGTTGACCCAACAACGAACCCAACAGTCTCGGTTTGGTTGGCACAAATAGGTAAAACCAACCCGTATACAGCCCTACCTAGTGCATACCACATGTCCCGAAAAGTGAGGAACACAGCAACACGCCTCCACGAGTATTTAAAGGCATGCCACTCAAAGTATTGCTCTCTCTGGACTCTATTCACTTCCAGCATTCTTGCTTTCCAGCTCTCTTGCCCTCAATCTCTGCTCAGCTACGACTTGCTCGTTCTCAACAGGTCGTTCTAGCCAACCTCCTCCTCTCCTTACTGACTTCGGCTTTGCAGGTTGTCAGACCCTCACTAGCTCATCTAGCACAGCCTAGCATAACTCATCCAACACAATTCGTCCGGTACACCTCGCCCAACACAGTTTGTCCAGCTTAGTGGGATTTGTATTTTATACTCGTACGTCCACCTCAATTTGGACAGCATCACATGTCTAATCAGCATGGTGAGGAATGCATTAATCAATATAAGACATTTGATTCAAAGCAAAACTCACCCCAGTTTGTTGCATGCGAGAAGACAGCTGAGAAAGGGCTTCATGGACACACCAATGTTGGATGGAAGCTGCAATGATAGTAGACCATGGGACAACATCCTTTTAGGCATTTCTTCAAATGGATTGAAAACTCTGATAAAGTCACCACATTTCACATACATATTGGACAGATTTTTGTGAAGGAAAACTCTGACAAATTGCTTTACAATGATCTAAGCTAAAAATTTTACCACATCTCTGCAGCAAATTACTGTATTTGTCCTCTTTCATTGACCAAGTCTTGCAAGGTTATCCATGTTGCATGAAGCATATAGGAAATTCTTCAAATCGAAAGGTACTCCAACTGGAAGAGAGCAATTTGACCGATCATTTGCTTTCGGTCTTCATACTTGTCTTGGCATGACTCTGATTGATCACATTAGTGAAATCAATCGTTCATGGTAGAGTAAAGCAACCAATTGGATAATGGGGGAAGAGGAAGAAGAAGTTTGCTTACCTGTATATCGTGGTAGAGCACTGGAGAATAAGTAACAAAATCGAACTGGACGGGGAACCGTTTTTGGGTCTGGATCCCAGGTTGAACGGTCTGACCGTCTGGTTTGAATGGGCAGACCGTTCTGACAGAAAAATTTTAAAAACCCAAAAACGGCCAAAAACCATTCCCGGGTTGAATGGTTCAATGGTCTGACACCCGGGTCAGTAGTTCACTGACCAGATCAATGATTTTTGGCCAAAAAACGGTTTTAGGGTTAAACAGAACCAGTGAAGTGACTAATTCCCGGTTTTTCTGGTCCGACCATCCGGTCCAGTTTTAAAAACATTGTAACATCATGGCGAGCGTTGCAGGAGGGCTTCCAACGAAACTAGGTCGATAATATCAATGGCATTTTTGTCAATTGAAAAATTAGTGGGATGCATTTGTACAAAAATAAGATCTTATCTCCTTTTTCTAATTCGAGATTTTTTTCTTTCCGGTTTGAAAAAGGAGTTTTAGTCCAAGATTAATTACCAAACGTAAAATATCTGGCTTATCTCCTTTGTTTAACCGGCAAGCAAACGTCAAACATCATGCTGTAGTGTCCAGTGGGAAGGAGACCAAGTCCGTATTAGTTATTAATTGCAACCCCAAACGCAGCCTAAGAACTTCTAGACAAGCCAAAGCTTCATATATGTACAAAATATCAACTATTGAAATTAAAATTTACTTATTAGAAAATGAAAAGAAAGCTTAAATAGCTGTGCATTTTTTTTTTTTTTTAATTTTTGTCGCTGTTTCGAATTGGAATTGCCTTACACTTTGTCCTACCTATATATTGAACCTTGTATCAAGTAGATCTTGGATTTTGAGTTAAATGTCCCTACTTCACACTTGAACATAACCTACACACTGATCAGCTGCCTGCAAGTAAAAAGCTATGCTTTCCAAGGTGTCCCATCGATATGCACCATGCAGATAGGAAAACAAACGGAACCTTGTCATCTTGTCTCAAGTAGATGTTCTTGTCTAATTGAAATGAAGAGGGTACCTGACCAAATTTGGAAGTTTTGCAAAGAAGCAGGGATTTGAAATGCCTGAAGGCTCTTAATTCATGTGGCAAACTTTTGAAGACAGATATAACCAGATTGTAACATGGCCCATACCAACCCAGTGAAGTAAGGAAGTAGATTACCACACCCTCCTTTTTTTTTTCCTTTTTGTTCTTTTTCCTACATCAATTCAGTGCGTGGAACTTAATGCAGAATATCATGCCAGAGTTTAGCAATGCAACACATTACACGTACAACAAATTGGAACAGAGGATCAAACAAGAAGAAATGTTTAAAGCCAGAAATATGCACTGAGGTCAGAAACGGAGTTTGGAAATCAGCTTCTGAAAGTATGAATGTGCTTTCTCTTGATGCATGAACCGGTCAGAAATTAGTGCCGCAATCCAATTCCCCCTGGTATTCACGTCCTCTTTTCAACATCCTCTTTTTGCCATACAGGTCACAGTAGAGATGACAAGTGATACACTCTACTACAAAAGGGAAAATAGGAGAGCACTGTAATGTTTGAGGTCCTTTGAAGTCCTTAGCGTGTAAACCTCTAATCCTTGGTGCAGTGAGCATCGTTTCCATGCTGTGTGCAATGATGGTAACCTACACTTCCAAGGAACTCACGGATCTCTCTCGCACTGCTATTGCTGGCTTGTAGGAGCCGCTCATCTTCCTCATAGATCAAATATGGGGCTTCGCCCTTCTTTCTGGACAAGAGCTTTGAGGCTCCTCTCAATACATGGTGCTCCCAACCTTGAACATCAATCTTGAGCAAAAGTACCCTTTCTGATTCTGGGATCACTTCATCTAGAGGAATGGATCGCACCTGAAGCTCAATTTCCTCATTGGACTTGAATGCCAACTTTGCACCAGTAGCAGAAACAGCGCTGTTATCTAGCCTCCCAACCAACTGATAAGACAAACACGGAACAACATTAATTAAAACATGCTGACAAATAGGTTGACGAACCAAGAAAATAACTGCAGGATGACATGACTTTTTATTTTTTATTTTTGTTCATCCTGTTCATGAGAGATTAACCAACAAAATGTTGTTTTTTGCCATTGGATTAACAACTATGAGTATCTATTATAACTAACATTAAGAGAGGGTGGAAGGGATACGTCATAATTCATAAGCAACACCTCATATCACTGAAACCGCAAAGACCAACCACCAAGCTGAACCCCCAAGCCTGGTAAAATCCTACAAAAATGCTTGAAAATCTCCAATTAACTTAACAAAAAAAAGGCAAACAAAAAAGCGAGCAACAGCCAGAGCTGAGCACCCACTTCGTTAAAGAATTAACTGGTTAATTTGGTTAAGCAGAGATCAGGGAGATGCTTCTCCATATGTATTTCATTGTGTATTGGCATCCGAGAAAAAAAAAAGAACAAGAAAAAAACACAATGCAGAATGGAGCTGAAGTCCAACTAGATGACATTGTTTAATTTAAGTCGAGAAAACTCCACCTCTTAGAGCAGGTTGTGGATAGTGATGTCAAGGTTGCAAGTCTCTTGGTCTGTTCTTGGGGAGGATTCTTTCTTTTAAAGATTAGAAGAAAAGGGTGGGACTAAGGAAGAGGTTGAGACTATCCAAGATGAATTTGGCAGCAATGTCTCAAAATGTGGAGACATGAATAGATGCACTGGGACTTTTTGATGTGTGAGGCATAAACCTCATGGTTACTGATTTCTAAGAACATCAAGCTAATTTAAGGAAGAGTACAGAAATATGCAGAAGAATATACTTTTTTATGTTGGACAAGCATATAAATGAATAAATGGTCACAAGTAAAGGATATTAGAAGATTTATAGAAAGCCATTGCATTCTTATAAATCATTTAATAACTAATATGAAGCTCTAAATGTTAACTAGTTCAAAATAGCTTCAAATATTTAAAGCATAGACAGTTAGACACAAGCACAAATATATACATAAACATGCATATGCATATGAAAAAAGGAAAAGAAAAATTCAAGCCATGGAGAATGCCCTTTATATTTTCATAAGTGAGCCTAAAATTGAGACTTGAAGCATTTTCCTTGAACCTCACCACAAGGTGAGCCTCAATGTCTTGTATGCTTTTCAAAACACTGATCAGAAGTTGAGGACTTGAATGATGATCTGTGTAACTGTTGTGCTATGAACATGTTGGAGCCTGGAGTTGCACAGGGTAGAAGGGTGTATGAAGCCGGAACAAGGTTCAGCTCAGGGGAACAGAAGCAGTAGAGGCAATAGGGGAAGGATGCAATCCTTCAATATTCATAATATCATAGGATTAAACAAGTTATGGTATCAAGGCAATGTTGCATGGACTCTCCTAGATGCATGACATGTATGTCAGACATGTCAGAGTCCAAGAATGTGATGTATTTTTCCAGGTTTTCTATGATTCCTTGCCATGTTCATTGTTGATACTTTCTAGTTAGTTACTTGCTCAACTAGAGATTAATATGAAAGAGGTGGTTGTTAGCTTGACTGCAGGCACTTTCGATCAGCTTAAGCTGCTAAACAGATGCTTGGTTGGATGTTTTGTTAACTTTAAACCAGACGTGGAAGAAGCATGGAATTGGGCAATGGTTGAATGGCAGCCAAGTAGCTCTTTTCAAGTTAGGAGGCTCAACGTGGGCTTTCTTTTTTACTTTAGCAATGAATATAAAGCTCCTGATATCCTTGAATGAGAACAAGATCAACTATGGGTTCTAGAGTTAATGTTTTTTTTTTTTTTTTTTTTTTTATGAGTAGTTCTAGAGTTAATGTTGGGGAGGTGGAACCCCCTTGTTGGATCTTTGAGAAATGTGGGGTTATCAGGCTTCGGCTAGATAAACATTTTTGGTATTCCTTTACATGCCTAGAGCTTCCAAACGTTTAGGGATGTCGGGGATGCATATGGGAGGTTGAAGTCGAATGGGCTCGTAGCAAAGGAAGGGCTGAAGGTTGAAGATGAGGGCATTTTGGGAACAAAAAATCAAATGATGATAATGGGGTTGGTGTTTTGGGGCTAATTGATTTTTGAGACATTGGGAAGGTGAAGAGGGAAGATTTGGGGAGATTGAAAAAGGGAGAGAGGAGTGGGGCCCACTTGAAGTCGGCTAAAGGAAAAATGGGGCTGGCCCGCTGGACTTAGCAATTTATGATGTCAAAGGGAGGATAGAAGCTGAGAGACATGTGATAGGCCAAAAGGAAAAGGGGTTGGGGTATGGAGAGGGAGATGAAAAGCCTTCAACGTTGCATTTTGAAGGTGAGTCTTGTGTTGGGAATTGGGAAGATGTTGGGGCCCACCTTCCAAAGGCAAACCAAAATATGTGAGAAAGACAATCGTCCCGCTCAGTCTAAGGGTAAATAGAAAGAGATTAATAACTTTTAAACATTCAAAGGATGATAGACGTAGGAGATCGAGCAAATTTTGATTGATTAGGGATTGAAGGGGAAAAGAAATAAGCTAGGAATGGGAGATCTTCAAATCCGATAGAGGTAAGCAAGAGAAGATCACTGTGAAATCAGTGGAGGGGCATAATAATCGTGATGTTGTCCGAAGCCTTGGCAATGGCAATGATACTCATGCTTGCTACATGCAGAATAGGGGTGAATCCGTGGAGGAGTTTGAATCTGCGACACTAATGCTATGTTTGGTTTGAAGGAAAAGGTAGGGAAACATATACAAGGTTTGTGAAGGTTTCCCTACCTTTCCCTACTTTTTCCTTCAAACCAAACACATCATAAAGGAAAACGGTGGTATGTCGTCTTCAGACTCTTTCTATTGTGAAAGAAGTTTTGTTTAATGTTTCTAGTGAGATCCACATAGAAGATGAGACTGGGTTAAGGAGAGGGAGAAGGATTTGAAAGGGGTCGTTGTTGCCAAATTAGGAGGAGATCGTAGTGTTGGTGACGAAGGAAGTGGCAACTTTATCACAAACTACTGTGTCATGCCCCAAACAGAGGGCGCTGATGCTAATCACCAGTTATTTGAGGAGGTGGTGATTGGAAGGATAGGTGTGGATTTGGGTAGGAGGGAGGCTAAGAAAGATTTAGTTGTGGCTGAAACAATGACCTCCAAAAAGTTTCGTGGAGCTACTGGAGTAAGATATTCACATACTGTTCACGTCAACAAAGTCTTTTCTTGGTTGAAACATAGATTGGTAGGGGATGGTCCTACAAAGAACTACAAGAAGGGGCAGTAAGACTACTACGCTGACAAATGAAGCTGCTAATGATGAGGATTCTCTGGTTGTATCTAATTCGGGTATGCAGTTGGGGACTTGCCATCATGAAGAATCAACAGATAGTGAATCTGTTTCTACTGCAAAAGATTTTAATAAAAGCCTTGAAGAGGTGGAGAAACCTGGAAGTATTTCTATTGAGGAAGCAGCTAAAAAAGATGTAGAGATTAGCAAAAGCTTGGGCCGGTTCTTCTGGGGTGGTGAGGAATTAGCCAGGAAGCCTTTGAAGAGTTCAAGAGGAAGAAGAGAGAAGAAAGCATGAAGAGAGGTGTAATTGGAGGAGAGAGGTGGGATGAAGATGATGATGGTCAGGAAGAAGTGTTTGAAGAGGAAGATTAGAGTCCTATTTCCTCTAGGCTAGGCTCATTTTGCTCATGCCGCAGGTGATCAATTGTGAAGCTGCCTGAGGAGCTGGTTCTTTATTTTGACAGAGTTTTTTGTAGTTTGCTGATGTTTTTGTGAAAGGTGTGTCTTAGTTAGTCTTCTCTTCTCTTGGGTGATATCTTATCACCTTCCTTTCGTATTATCTTTATATTTTTAATGGAATTTTTAGTTTACTCATAAAGGAAAAAAAAAGTGGTCTCCAAATGGTTAATAAGTCGGCCATATCTCTCAAACTTTGACTTCACAATTGCAAGTTGCTCCATAGCTGATTTCTCATCACCAAACCCTTTCTCCCCCTTTAGAACAATGGTCACATTAGCATTCCCAATCCTCTTACTGTTGAACCTAACTGGTAAAAGATGTGGATGTAATTTCCAGCAGGTATCCTTCATATGCTTAGGATTCTTGCAATGCTCAAAAACAATATCCTTCTTCACCTCCACAGCCTTTGTCTTTACCCAGCATATGCAAAATGGTTAATAGACGCTCCTTGGACTTGCACTTGTCTCTTACTCTCTTCACTACTAACCACTGTATAGTCGTCCCCTATGACAATTTTACCTCATCCTTAGCCAAAGACCCTATTTCCCTCCACCAACTTCCTGCAAGTTGGGGCTAGAAGAGCTAGGGGTAGACCAGAAAAGGACATGGCTAGTAGTAAGAAATGATTTAAGCACCAATAATTTAGTAGTGGATATGGTTTTAAATAGAATAGAAATGATTCCTGCAAGTTTCAGCATCTTTGGTTCTCTCCCACACAACTACATCAAATCCATTTCCTACCATAAGAATTTCAGCATACAATAATACACGATTAGAGGTCTCTCCCCATGTCTTAGATTATTCACATCATTCATCAGTTTGTATGCCCTAGCCACATTTAGTTTCTGAGAATATGTTTTAGCTACATTGTCCCATATCTCCTTAGTTGTATCCATTAACAGGTAATGCTGACTAATGTGTGGCTACATAGAATTCAACAACTACCCAACAACTGTATAGTTTTCCTGCATCAATTTCTCATATGTTGGGTCAATTTCCTCCAACTTCTTACTGCCTATGAGAGAGCCCAATTTTCCTCTACTACATACATGAATGCAAATTGACTATGCCCAAGCAAGATAGTTAGTCCCATCCAACTTGATTGTGGTCACAACATTCAATAGAATGTCTACAAACTCTATCGGACCAACCCTAGACTCTACATTTTGCTTTGGAAATAAGAGGTTTTAAAATAAGTAGGACGAAAACAAAATATAAGAGATTTTAATAATGGGAGTGCAAATCAAGGTACACTTAGGATTGGAGACTAAGAGTTAATTCAAATGTGACCTTTTTGGTACCTTGGTTTGATAATTCATAACAAGGGTGAGATTGAGGAGGATGCTACCAATAGAAATAAAGCTGGATGGGAAAAACGGAGGGTTGCATCTAGAGTTTTATATGATAGGTCAATACCACTTAGATTAAAAGGAAAACACTATAAAACAGTTGTAAGGCAAAATATGTTGTATGGAGCTGAGTGTTGGCTAGATATGGGTATGACAAAATTGCATATGTTAAGATGAATGAATGGAAAAACTAAAAAGAATAAGATAAGAAATGAAGTCATTTGTAGGAACTAAGGAGTACCTCCAATAGGTGATAAAATGAGAGAAAGTAGACTAAGATGGCTTGGATATATGCATAGAAGGTCATCAACAACACCTATAAGAAGTCCTCATGTGCCTCTCTTTTTTTTAATGAATCTTGGTTAACATTTCTCAAAAAAAAAAAAAAAAACAACACCTATAAGAAGTGATTTGATACAAGTTGAAAGGGCTAGAAGGGCAAGTGGTAAACCCAAAAGGATATGGGTAGTAGAAAGAAATTATTTAAGTGCCAATAATTTAACAATGAATATTGCATTAAATAGAATGGACTAGTGAAATAGGATTTATGTAGCCAACCCCATATAGTTGGGATAAGCTTGGATGATGATGACGATGGTCAAGGTTGGGTTGGGTTAAGTTGCTTAAGACCTCAACTCTGAACCTAATTTTCACCAATGTTTAGAAAATCGGACTGGACCAGCCAACTGAACCAATTGAACCGTGACCCAGGGCACTGGCCAATTCAATCATACCCTAGAAATTGGAATTGATAGAAAACCAGTCAAAACTAGCTAACCAGTCGGTTTAACCAAAAAGCCACTGAAATAGTCTTGATTTTATGAAACTAGCCAGTTCACTAAATAAGCCTAATTTTCACCACGTTCGTTTATCGGTAAATAAGAGGGGTAAAGTTGGTCAATGGGTATCATTTTCCCATTGACCAACTTTATAGTGTTCTTTTTTCAATAAGTATTGAACCCAACGGTAAAGTTAGTTTCATTTACCTGGATAAAACTTACCCATCTCCCAAGTGGTAGCCTATTTTAACATTGGCTTTTTATGGGTAAAAAGGCCATTATATTACTTACCTAGGAATCAAAAGAACATGGGTAAGTGAATTTACCTAGGTAAGTATTACCCAGGAGACATTTACCTAGATAAGTGCACTTACCCAAGTAAGTGACCAATTTGTAAACAGACAAGGCTCAAATTTCAAAATACTTATTGCAAGACTTGTACTGTGACCACTTATTTGTGTTTTTATTCAAAGAGTCGAAAAAAAATCATTAAAGAAAAAAAGAAGTCATACAATCTGAGGGGTGTCAAGATAACACCCCACTGTCTTAACAAAAAGCCAAAATACAAAATACATGAGACATTTAAGAGGCAAAAAACTAATCAAAATTACAGGCCTGTAACTCAAGAATATTATTTATGCGTATTGCTCAATTATCATTAATCCATTTCTTTATTTGTGTTAATTAATGATTCTTTATTGTATACATTACTTTATTACACACCATAGTTGTCAAGGCGACGCCTAGGCGACAAGGCGCCCTTTGAGGCTCGCCTCGCCTAATCGCCAAGCAGTTTTCTACTTCCTACTATAAAATACTTTTTTATTCATTTTTTTTATATTATAATTATAAAATAGACATTGTTAAACTAAAAAGTCTAAAATAATCATTTTATGCGTTTATATACTAATTTCTTTTTATTATTTTCTTAATTATTAGGGTTTAATCAACACAAACATTGCTAAATGCTTTATTGAACCCTCAAAGACTTAAAAACCTGAACCAATAAGTAAGGAAGAACTTAAAACTTTATCTAATCAACACATTTTCCTCTTCCATATATTCTTCTTCTACTTCTTCTTCTTCTTCTTCTACTACTACTACTACCAATACTTTTTATTTTCTTCTTTTCCTATAACAAAAATAAGGGTTCAGCCCCTATATTTTTTGAATTTTATTTTACTTCTTCCTTTTCTTCTCATGAATATGTTGATTTTCTATACTTGAATATGAAACTTACACTTTTCTTATGAAAATCATGAATAATTATTAAAGAAATATGGTTATGGTACCTAGGGAACTACCCTAGGATCTATGTTTTTAACATAAAAAATCCATTGCCTAGGCGACGCCTAGGGGCCCACCTAGGCGACTAGGCAACAAGGTGCCCCCCAGTCGCCTAGCCTCACCTTGGCACCTTGAAAACTATGTTATACATGTATTTTAAAGAAAAAATGAATTAAGAGGCTTGAACCTTGGTTCTTTGCTTTAAAAATTAAGAAACTTGCCATCTATCCACCACATTCAAGTAATGATATAATTTGTAAAATATATTATATAGTATTTATATGACCCATATATGCCACATCATCACAATTTGACCTCTAGTTTGACCCGATTGAACCTCTGACCCATGAACCTCTCTCTTTTTCGTTTCTATGCCTGGTCAGGTTCTCTAAACATTGATTTTCACCAACCTAACTCCTAAAACCACATACCAGTTGGGACCAAGATCTGGTTGGATTAGCCAGGTTTCAAATTGACCCATGCCAAGTTGCACCTCCACCCTTAGCATTGCTTTTTTTAAACAAAATTCTAGTAATAACCTAAGAGAATATCTGCATTGTATTATGTTGCTTCTCATTATAAATACCAGATGACTAATACTAATTGTGCTTTATCTTTCAAAAGGCCTAATCTGCATTGCTATCCTCTAGAGATCCAATCTGATTATATATGATTTGTCTTTACTTCTTTTCGTGTTTAAAATACTAAATTATGGACTGACATCTATCATGTGAGACCCTTGCAGTCAGATTCAGTATATCATCCACTGCAATTGAAAATTGAATCTGAATTGCTTGTTACCCTGTTTAATTTGCTTGGGAAGTGATGTATGACGGGTATGGGTCTTTATTAATTTAAGATCTGTTGGTAGGCTTTGTGGGGTGAATGAGCACAATATCATCTAGCCTCATTTCAAAGGTCTTGATCTAGCACATTAGAGAAATAACTTTTTGAAAGGGTTCCGCGATATATGTTCTTAAAATAATGTTGGATCTGTTTAAGCTTTTGATTCCATCTCAAGAGGCAAATTTTGTCTTCCAGCATGCTCTGTTGACTGGACTCGATGGGCCAGTGTAGGCAGAATTGATCCTCAAGTTGTGATAACCCATGGCTAAGACAACCATTAACCGGGAGTCATGGATGAGGTCCATGAGGATACATGTGGCGACAACCATTAATCATGGTTATAAAGAGGGTCAACCATCATTATCTTCTCGGCCACAACAGAAACTCAAAAAGGAAATGAAATATGTACCTTAAAATGCTTTCAAGTCTCCCGGTTTAGCAGAAACAAGTGATTTTAAGAAAGCTCGATAATAGTTAGAATGAACAACTATATTTACCGATGACAAAAATCGTACCTTATGGAAGGTGATATTTCCCAGACGATCCGAAGCAGCGGCTTCAAATAAAGTAACCCGATTCCCAACCCGATTCAAGAAGACACCATCACAGATTCTCTGCAAATTCTCAAACACCGGCTCAAATGCCAAAACTTTGAACCCCATCGCAGCAGCAGCAAAAGTCGCCATTCCAACATTGGCACCGACATCAACAATATAACCATCATTCTCACCACCACCAGTATGTCCCATCTTCTGCATTAGAACCTCTTGAATTGTTACGGAAATGTCAGGTTTCCTAAAGGGCTTCCCCTTGAGTAATCGAACGATATTCTTGTGGGGTTTGTCGGGGAGAGTACCTAGATCGGCGAGAGAGTAGAGGAACGGATAGCGGACGCCTTCGACAAGGTTAGCTATAACAGGATAGGACTGTGGGCATTTGAAGCAGTCAAAAGGTTCGATTGAACGAAATGGAATTGGGTTTTTGAAGGAGATCTGATCGCCGAGACTAGGAGTTGAATTTGAGCTTCGAAAAATGAATACGATGACGAAAATGAGGAGGACAGAGATCGGGAAGAACAATAGCAGGTTTCTAGGGGTGAGCAGTGGTGGGGTTTTGTCTCTTTTCCAGGCATTCGCCATTGAGAAATAAGAACGATTAGAAGAAGAAAAACCGAGATTCGAAGTTTTCCGGGACGTCGTTAGTTCTGTTCTTTCGGTTTATATTCGATTCCTTAATGCATTATCATTGGCTTGTTCAGGAGGGCTGAAGCGCAGCAGCTTCTGCCTTTCCGAGGTTGGCTACACGGACAGCCTTTAAGCTTTTAAGCTACACTAGTGGAGACCCGTGTATGGCAATCAAGACTTATAAACAAATTGAAAGAATTAAAATAACGATTTAATCAATTTGTTAAAAAACTAAAATAAATTATAATAAGAATGGCCAAAACAAAATCAATTGCATATTATTATTATTATTATTATTATTATTAAAATACTGTTAATTAAAGAAAATACTGTTAAAAATACAGTTAATTATTAAATATTGTTAACTAATGAAAATACTGTTAACTGTTAATAAATACTGTATTTATGAAATTACTATAATTATTGAAAATATGGTTAATTGGTAATGTTAATTAACAATATTAAAATAATGAAATCAATACTATTTTAAAAAGCATGAATGGCCTCAAGAATATTTCTGGAATTTTTTAAGGACAAATTTTACCCCTTTATATTTAAATTTATTAATAAAATAATGAGAGCAAATAGGGTAATCAATTCTTAATATTAAATGAGTTGAAAAGAGGTAATCTAAAGATATTCAATGCATTCAATTCTCTCTCATTAAATCCAAAATTTGAGTTATTAACTTGTATTCATGTTCATTAATTCATATATTTAAGTTAGTTTTGTTTCTTCTAATCATTAAGTTTTATTAATTGGATCCATACTTAATAAATTAATAATTCCAATAATATAAAAGCTTATAATTTTAAAATCTACCTAGCAAAAATAGTGTTTTCACCTAGTTGGTGGTAAGAAATTAAATCATTTTGGGTCAAATCGGTTAATCCATGTTGCCATGATTAAATAATAAAGTTAAAAAAATTGGAAACATTTTTTAACATACATATTAAAAATAATAGTTATGATAAATAAGAAATTATTTTACTAATGATGAAAATGGAATGTAAAATTTAAAACCAATTGGAAATAAAAATATTTTCCTATTCTCTCTCATTAAATCCTATATTTAAAATATATTTTTACATCGTTAAATTCTTGTTGTTAAATCCATAATATTAATTTTAATAGTATAAAAATAAATATTTTGAAAAGTAATTTGAAAACAAAACCATTTTCTTCCCTCCCGGTGGTGGGCAAGCAATTTGACCATTTGGGGTCAAATGGATTGATAAATAATGTTATAATTAAATAATAAAAATTAAAATAAATAACTAAAAAATGTAAGCAGTATTTTTATTAATGGTGAAAATGGAATGCCAAATTTAAAATCCACCTATAAATGAAATGATGCCATAATCAATTAATAAAATTTTTAATAATAGAAAATACAAAGAATCACAAAAGTATTAAAAAATGATAAAGAAAATTTTGGGCACATATCTAATGTTATATATTCATAAAAAATAAAATATTGGGTACATCTCTAATATCATGCATTCATTATATTGAACAAAAATAAGTTTTATACATAAGAAATAATTTTATCAATGATGGAAATGTAATACAAAAATTTAATGTCAATTTAGAAATCAAAATATTTTTCTTTTTGGATGGTGGGTTAGTGTATTGAGTCAAATGATACCAAAGACAAACAAAAATTAAGTGTGATAAAGTAAAAAATATTTTATATAATGTAAATGAAATATATAATTTAAAGAAAAAATTATGGTTAAAGTCGGTTGTATATTTAAAATTAGGTTGCAGGTTGGTCCAAAAACCAACAAAACTCTAATAACCAGCTCTACATTTCAAATTATAAAAACCCCTGCCATGTCATTGGAGGCTTATGTGGTTGTTGCCAACATGAGACTCTTAGTCCATGTTGGACACAACAAAAAACCAATATCAAAAATAGGTGTCCAGTTTCTCTCTCACTCCCTCTGTCTCATGATCTCCCTCCCTTCTCTCTCACTCTCATAGTGATCTCTCGATCTCACGCTCCCTCTGTCTCTCCCACTCTTCTAGCTTTAGTCTTTAGCCAAATCAAAACCTCTCTCTCATTTTTCTCCCTCATTCTCCCTCTCGGTCAATATCTCCTTCTCTGTTCCTCAATCTCTATCATTCTCCAATCTCTATCTTATGATTTTTGAACCATAAGTGTGTAAGAAAATTAAAAAAAAAAAAAGAACGAGAGAGGGAGTGGGAGAGAAACTGAAGGAGAACGATAGAAATTAAGGGAGAATGAGAAATTGACTAAGAAAGATGATGAATATAAAGAATGTAAATATAGAAACCAAAAACCATTTTTTATTTATTTTCAAATCACATAGTCGTTGAACAAATAAAGATGACTGTGAGAGTGAAAGAGTGTGAGTGGAGATTGAGAGAGAGAGAGAGTGAGAGAGAAAAGCTAAAATCCCTTTTTTTTTATTTTCTAATCACCCAACATTAAAGAGCAATTTTGGTATAAGTTTTTTGTTGCGTCCAATATGGATTAAGAGCCCCATGTTGGCAACAACCACATAAGCCTCTAATGACATGGCGAGGGTTTTTATAATTTGAAATGTAGAGCCGATTGTCAGAGTTTTGTTGGTTAATGGGCCAACTTGTAGCTTAATTTTAAATGTACAGTCGACTCTGACTATAATTTCCCTAATTTAAAACTAATCATCCAACTTTCCAAAGAGAATCATGATATCATAATTGAATATAAGTATTTTAGAAAAGATAGAACACCAAAAATGAAAATGTACAAAATTTTGTCGAAAACATTTGAGAGCATTTTTTTATGTTATATATTCATCATATGAAATAAAAATAATTTTTAAAATAAAATTTTTTTTATTTATGATAAAAATGCAATACAAAATTTAATAATAATAATAATAATAGTTATTTGCTACAAGCATTTAAGTTTATTTTTAATGATATTGTTACTTTTGTTAATTTTCAATTTCTATCTTAACTATGGAATATCTAAAATTCAAGTAACTAATATGAAGAAAAATTTCTCACGTGTAACGAATGTGCTTAATTACTAGTTATTAAAAATACTATAATCATTAACAATGTTTTTTTAACTGTTAATTATTAAAATACTGTAATTATTAGCAGTTAACAATATTTTATAATTAAAAATATTTAATAAGTATTTATTAAAATATAGATAATTATTAAAAACTATTAATTATTAAAATATCGTCAATATATATTATTTATAATATAAAAATATATTATATTTTGTTATATTATTAAAATACTGTTATTATTTTTTGTCTTATTATTATTTATGATTAGTATTATTGTTAACATCAATAATCATCAATATCATCATCATCATCGTTATTATTGTTGTTGCTGTTATTATTTAAAATATATTGTACACATTTCCAGCTGACCCGTACAATGTATGGAACCTTTAGGGGTTCGAATCAGCTGGACCCGACTATTCATATTCGGGTTTTTCGAAAATGGGTCATCGCAGACCGTATTCGTCGTCTTCTTCACACTAAATGTTATACAGGTCATGCATCAACTTGTTTAGTTTCTACCTTTTTTTTTGTTAAATCTTCATTTTTTCAGTTATTTATGCGTYGTTTCTCAATAAAATAGAGGTTTGACCTCCTACCTGCTGTTTGGGAATGTTTGAAGAAGCTGAAACATATCTAGAACATTTGGGAACGTTTGTTCAACCCAAAAACAGTTGGAACGTATGCTCGACCAAAAAAGAGGTAAAACGTCTGAAACTCTTGCAACGCTTGCTACAACTGAAACCTCACCGAAACTTTTGCAACGCCGGCAACCGGAGTAGCTGAAACTTTTGCTTGGAAGAAAACCTACGTAAAAAACTTAGAAGTGATCAGAGGTTACATACGAATGGAAGGAAAGAAAATCTCAGTAAAAAAGAGTGGCTGAGATGGTTCAGCCTTTGGTCTCTTGAAGGTGTCCACAGTCCGAGACAGGGTGTTCTTGATCTCTTGAAGGTAGTGAAGTTGTTTTCGGTCTGAGACTGAGAGAATGTGATTGCTGGACGTCTGAGAGTGAGAGGGTCCTGTGTGTTAGAGTTTGAATGTGAAAAATGGTAGAGAGAAGAGACGTTTGGTCTCCACCATGTTTTGGGAACCAACACGTCATTAATGTGATATTAAATATTAAAAAGAAGAAAAATACCTAAAAATCCCATAACCCAGATAAATGCCTTCTGAGAACAACGCGAGTGAAGATAAGTGGAGACCAAATCAGCTCCCCACAACGTCTCACAGCACATTCAAGCCGTGTATTGGAAACATCTCCCGATGCATGGCAGGGATGTGCTGTGGGACGTTGCTGGGGCTGATTTGAACTCAGATAAGTGCGCTAAGAGTCCGGATGTCTTGTACATTCGTCTCTGTATACCTTCGGTGGGTGTCATGTCAATACCCTCTCATTCATGAATCTCATATGGGCGAGTGGGATTAACATATGTTTCAAATGTCCTCCACTTCTCCTATCCCGTTTTTAATATATTAAAATTTATACTAAATTTTAAAACAAATTAAAAAACAGGGGTTAAAGGTTTCTTCTTCTTTGTCAATAAAAAAAGAGTTTGCTCTCAACGAACAGAGTCCGTTACGTTCATCATCCATGATGGATCTACTAAGCTACTAGCACTTGGGGAGTGGCTGACCATACAGACAGTGGTAATGGAAGAAAGAGTCGGCACTGAACTCCTGCACCTTCCCGCCGAATGACCTCCTTGGGGATACTCCCTCTGGTCCTGTTATGGGATAAGTCCAAATATTCTAGGCTCTTGGGAAGCTTCACCTTCGTCGCAACAATGTTCTGTTTGTTTTGAACAACGCCGACGCATGGCCTAACGATTTGGGAATTGTACCAGAAAATTGGTTCTGTGAAAGGCCGAAATGAAGGAAGCGATTTTGTGATATCCAAAGTGAGTCAGGAATGCTTCTTGTCATTTTATTACCTCCTAGGTCCAAATGTTCTAGTTTGGGTAGATTTGCTATGGAAGCCAGAATTGGACCTAAGAAATTGTTGTACGATGGATTAAGGAACCAGTGGTTCTGTAGTGTTGGTTGGGCTCCCTTTCCACGTGGAGGGCCCACTAAAAAAAAAAAAAGAA